GAGTGATAGTGACTGGTAGATCACCAGCAATGTGTTGATACAGCAGTGGAGTGATAGAGACTGGTAGATCACCATCACTGTATTGATACAGCAGTGGAGTGGTAGAGACTGGTAGATCACCAGCACTGTATTGATACAGCAGTGGAGTGATAGAGACTGGTAGATCACCATCACTGTATTGATACAGCAGTGGAGTGATAGAGACTGGTAGATCACCAGCACTGTATTGATACAGCAGTGGAGTGATAGAGACTGGTAGATCACCAGCACTGTGTTGATACAGCAGTGGAGTGATAGAGACTGGTAGATCACCAGCACTGTGTTGATACAGCAGTGGAGTGATAGAGACTGGTAGATCACCAGCACTGTGTTGATACAGCAGTGGAGTAATAGAGACTGGTAGATCACCAGCACTGTGTTGATACAGCAATGAAGTGATAGAGACTGGTAGATAACCAGCACTGCGTTGATACAGCAGTGGAGTGATAGAGACTGGTAGATCACCAGCACTGTGTTGATACAGCAGTGGAGTGATAGACACTGGTAGATCACCAGCACTGTGTTGATACAGCGGTGTAGTGATAGAGACTGGTAGATTACCAGCACTGTATTGATACAGCAGTGGAGTGAAAGAGACTGGTAGATCACCAGCACTGTGTTGATACAGCAGTGGAGTGATAGAGACTGGTAGATCATCAGCACGGTGTTGATACAGCAGTGGAGTGATAGAGACTGGTAGATCACCAGCACTGTGTTGATACAGCAGTGTAGTGATAGAGACTGGTAGATAACCAGCACTGTATTGATACAGCAGTGGAGTGATAGAGACTGGTAGATCATCAGCACGGTGTTGATACAACAGTGGAGTGATAGAGACTGGTAGATCATCAGCACTGTATTGATACAGCAGTGGAGTGATAGAGACTGGTAGATCACCAGCACTGTGTTGATACAGCAGTGGAGTGATAGAGACTGGTAGATCACCAGCACTGTATTGATACAGCAGTGGAGTGATAGAGACTGGTAGATCACCAGCACTGTATTGATACAGCAGTGGAGTGATAGAGACTGGTAGATCACCAGCACTGTATTGATACAACAGTGTAGTGATAGAGACTGGTAGATCACCATCACTGTGTTGATACAGCAGTGGAGTGATAAAGACTGGTAGATCACCAGCACTGTGTTGATACAGCAGTGGAGTGATAGAGACTGGTAGATCATCAGCACGGTGTTGATACAGCAGTGGAGTGATAGAAACTGGTAGATCACCAGCACTATATTGATACAGCAGTGGAGTGATAGAGACTGATAGATCACCAGCACTGTGTTGATACAGCAGTGGAGTGATAGGGACTGGTAGATCACCAGCACTGTATTGATACAGCAGTGGAGTGATAGAGACTGATAGATCACCAGCACTGTGTTGATACAGCAGTGGAGTGATAGAGACTGATAGATCACCAGCACTGTGTTGATACAGCAGTAGAGTGATAGAGACTGGTAGATCACCAGCACTGTGTTGATACAGCAGTGGAGTGATAGAGACTGGTAGATCACCAGCACTGTATTGATACAGCAGTGGAGTGATAGAGACTGGTAGATCAGCAGCACTGTATTGATACAGCAGTGGAGTGATAGAGACTGGTAGATCACCAGCACTGTATTGATACAGCAGTGGAGTGATAGAGACTGGTAGATCACCAGCACAGTATTGATACAGCAGTGGAGTGATAGAGACTGGTAGATCATCAGCACTGTATTGATACAGCGGTGGAGTGATAGAGACTGGTAGATCACCAGCACTGTGTTGATACAGCAGTGGAGTGATAGAGACTGGTAGATCACCAGCACTGTGTTGATACAGCAGTGGAGTGATAGAGACTGGTAGATCATCAGCACTGTATTGATACAGCGGTGGAGTGATAGAGACTGGTAGATCACCAGCACTGTGTTGATACAGCAGTGTAGTGATAGAGACTGGTAGATCATCAGCACTGTATTGATACAGCGGTGGAGTGATAGAGATTTGTAGATCACCAGCACTGTGTTGATACAACAGTGTAGTGATAGAGACTGGTAGATCATCAGCACTGTATTGATACAGCAGTGGAGTGATAGAGACTGGTAGATCACCAGCACTGTGTTGATACAGCAGTGGAGTGATAGAGACTGGTAGATCACCAGCACTATGTTGATACAGCAGTGGAGTGATAGAGACTGGTAGATCACCAGCACTGTGTTGATACAGCAGTGGAGTGATAGAGACTGGTAGATCATCAGCACTGTATTGATACAGCGGTGGAGTGATAGAGACTGGTAGATCACCAGCACTGTGTTGATACAGCAGTGGAGTGATAGAGACTGGTAGATCATCAGCACTATGTTGATACAGCAGTGGAGTGATAGAGACTGGTAGATCACCAGCACTATGTTGATACAGCAGTGGAGTGATAGAGACTGGTAGATCACCAGCACTATGTTGATACAGCAGTGGAGTAATAGAGACTGGTAGATCACCAGCACTGTGTTGATACAGCAGTGGAGTGATAGAGACTGGTAGATCACCAGCACTGTGTTGATACAGCAGTGGAGTGATAGAGACTGGTAGATCACCAGCACTATGTTGATACAGCAGTGGAGTGATAGAGACTGGTAGATCATCAGCACTGTATTGATACAGCGGTGGAGTGATAGAGACTGGTAGATCACCAGCACTGTGTTGATACAGCAGTGGAGTGATAGAGACTGGTAGATCATCAGCACTGTATTGATACAGCGGTGGAGTGATAGAGACTGGTAGATCACCAGCACTGTGTTGAAACAGCAGTGGAGTGATAGAGACTGGTAGATCACCAGCACTGTATTGATACAGCAGTGGAGTGATAGAGACTGGTAGATCACCAGCACTGTATTGATACAGCAGTGGAGTGATAGAGACTGGTAGATCACCAGCACTGTGTTGATACAACAGTGGAGTGATAGAGACTGGTAGATCACCAGCACTGTGTTGATACAGCAGTGGAGTGATAGAGACTGGTAGATCACCAGCACTGTGTTGATACAGCAGTGGAGTGATAGAGACTGGTAGATCACCAGCACTGTATTGATACAGCAGTGCAGTGATAGTGACTGATAGATCACCTGCACTGTATTGATACAGCAGTGCAGTGATAGTGACTGATAGATCACCAGCACTGTATTGATACAGCAGTGGAGTGATAGTGACTGATAGATCACCTGCACTGTATTGATACAGCAGTGCAGTGATAGTGACTGATAGATCACCTGCACTGTATTGATACAGCAGTGGAGTGATAGAGACTGGTAGATCACCAGCACTGTGTTGATACAGCAGTGGAGTGATAGAGACTGGTAGATCACCAGCACTGTGTTGATACAGCAGTGCAGTGATAGAGACTGATAGATCACCTGCACTGTGTTGATACAGCAGTGGAGTGATAGAGACTGGTAGATCACCAGCACTGTGTTGATACAGCAGTGGAGTGATAGAGACTGGTAGATCACCAGCACTGTGTTGATACAGCAGTGCAGTGATAGAGACTGATAGATCACCAGCACTGTGTTGATACAGCAGTGGAGTGATAGAGACTGGTAGATCACCAGCACTGTATTGATACAGCAGTGGAGTGATAGAGACTGGTAGATCACCAGCACTGTATTGATACAGCAGTGGAGTGATAGAGACTGGTAGATCAGCAGCACTGTATTGATACAGCAGTGGAGTGATAGAGACTGTTAGATCACCAGCACTGTGTTGATACAGCAGTGGAGTGATATAGACTGGTAGATCACCAGCACTGTATTGATACAGCAGTGGAGTGATATAGACTGGTAGATCACCAGCACTGTATTGATACAGCGGTTGAGTGATAGAGACTGATAGATCACCAGCACTGTATTGATACAGCAGTGGAGTGATAGAGACTGGTAGATCACCAGCACTGTGTTGATACAGCGGTGGTGTGATAGACTGGTAGATCAGCAGCACTGTGTTGATACAGCAGTGGAGTGATAGAGACTGGTAGATCACCAGCACTGTATTGATACAGCAGTGGAGTGATAGAGACTGGTAGATCAGCAGCACTGTATTGATACAGCAGTGGAGTGATAGAGACTGGTAGATCACCAGCACTGTGTTGATACAGCAGTGGAGTGATAGAGACTGGTAGATCACCATCACTGTGTTGATACAGCAGTGGAGTGATAGAGACTGGTAGATCACCAGCACTGTGTTGATACAGCGGTGGAGTGATAGAGACTGGTAGATCACCAGCACTGTATTGATACAGCAGTGGAGTGATAGAGACTGGTAGATCAGCAGCACTGTATTGATACAATAGTGGAGTGATAGAGACTGGTAGATCATCAGCACTGTGTTGATACAGCAGTGGAGTGATAGAGACTGGTAGATCACCAGCACTGTGTTGATACAGCAGTGGAGTGATAGAGACTGGTAGATCAACAGCACTGTGTTGATACAGCAGTGGAGTGATAGAGACTGGTAGATCACCAGCACTGTGTTGATACAGCAGTGGAGTGAGAATTAACAACAAAAAGACTCGCGAAGCCTGCAATGAAATAAAAACGACGCATATGTAGTGGTGGTGTTGACGTCCGCCGACAGTGATGGATCACGGGGCGCGGGGTTGGGCACGCGATGTGGGCGTGGTATGGACGCGCGCGCCGGTGGTGAGGCGCGCTGACACGAGGTGGGAAAAGAGGATCGTAGCCAGCGCGCGGTGATTGGTCAAATAGGATGGGTGCTCTCAGCGACGTCCGCAGGAGGTGCATAAAGGGGGACGCGCGAGAGCACTCGAGGTCGTTGTTAACCAGTTGAAGACCGAAGACGGAGTGGAGGAGGTAGTGGCCCGAGACCCCTAGTCCCGCCGTCCTTGTCAGGACCGGGGCCCTGTGTGGCTCGGAGCCGAGACTGTGGGACCCGTAGTCAAACGCCCGTGTGGGTCGGGACGGTGGTACCCAGAGCCGAGACGGACACCCCGGCCGGGTGTGTTCCGGAAGGCTACGGGGCGTAAGAGCCCGTGTCAGTGTTGCTGAGTGGGTGTTAGTCACCCGAGTAGCTAAGTGGGTGTTAGTCACCCGTGTAGCTGAGTGGGTGTTAGTCACCCAAATAGCTAAGTGGGTGTTAGTCACCCGTGTAGCTGAGTGGGTGTTAGTCACCCGAGTAGCTAAGTGGGTGTTAGTCACCCGTGTAACTGAGTGGGTGTTAGTCACCCGTGTAACTATAAGTTGGTGAAATAAAAGAGTGTGCTACCCGTGAAGTCGTCTCCCGCCGAGTTACTACTCTACACATACATAAGAGACACTAAACGTCAGCAGTAGAATAAAATGGCCGAGCGGTAAAATGCACTGTGAGACAGCAGTGAGTCGAGACTGAAAAATGGGTCCCTCTAAGCTCTGCAATGTACGAGTGTGGCATGGGAGTGTATGTGTTGTGTATGTAAGCCTTGTAAGGGATGTCAGGGGTGGGAATGGAGATGGATAGTGTCAACACATTCCAGGGCGTGTCACGTGATATGATATATAAATAAAACCGAAAGTGTTTGTACCGCACTTCTCTTTCTCACATTCACGAGGCTTGTTACTGTGTTTGCGTATCATACGCAGCCAGCTACTGTCGAGATAGAGCCAGAGACTGCCTGAGCTACAGACAGAGACTGCCTGAGCTACAGACAGCGACTGCCTGATCTGCAACCAGCGCCCTGTCTCTGAGTGGAGCCACAGGATCATGGCGAGTGCGGCTCCCAGTGGTAGCGAGGCTCTAGGGGAGTTGACCTGCCCCATCTGCCTGGACGCCTTCCGCTGCCCCTGCACGCTCAGTTGCGGCCACTCGTTCTGCCTCAAGTGCGTGGAGGGCGCCTGGGATGCGACTAAGTCCTTTTCCTGCCCACAGTGCCGAGTGACTTTCCTTCAGAGGCCCAAGCTGAGCAAGAACTTCACTCTCGCCAACCTGGTGGAGCAGCGCAGTGCTGCAGAGAAAATAGCCACAGTGGTCTTGTGTGACTTCTGTAACGATGGCACGACCGCTGCCTTAAAAACCTGCCTCAGGTGTGATACCTCCTACTGTGTGACTCATGTAAAGCCTCATCAGGAGAACCCGAAGTTCAAGGACCACATTCTGGTGGCTCCAGCCACGAATCCTGAAGACCGCAAGTGCAAGACGCACAGAAAGGAGCTAGAGTTTTACTGCCGACAGGACAAGAGCTTGGTCTGCATAACCTGCACCATCGCAGGAGACCACAAGGGTCACGATGTGGCTACGCTGGAGGATGAGCACAAGACACGGGAGGTGAGACGGTCTGCGTGTGTGAGTGGGAGCCTCTCCTGCGAGAAGTCATCATTTTCAAGTACTAACGGAACAATAATATCCAACTAAATATTATATCATTCCTCTCTCAGCTTCCCATTGTTTCTTCAAATTTTAACAATCTTGATTTAATATAAAGTATGCTGAGGTTGTCATAGTGCATAAATAATATGAAAACATGTTATCAATCCTGTTATCGGACAAATGTATAAATATGCTCTTAGTATATTTTATAAAACTGAAGGACTTTAATGCGTACAAAGTTTTCTCAAAATGACGTGAGTGCACAGACTTTGGTTTGTATACAAAAGTGGTTTGTGGAATAGAGGAGTATTCCCCAAAATGTAAACGAAATGTAAAACGACTGGGACTGCGTGAGCTGCAGTGCTCACCGCTTGGTAGCCTCGTGCCGGTCTGTACCAGTTTAGTGCCGCACTCTACAGCAGCTACCGGGTCACTGGACTTGGTGTTCCAGAAATGTCGCGTGATTGTGACAGACCAAGTATTTCGTGACCGTATTTATATTTTTATTAAGATGCTCTCTACCGAATTTCTCCGACACTCAACAGTGACATTGCAGCCCTTCCTTGTGCCATGTGAAACTAAACTAAAACTTTTTTTATTTTAGCAGATGAAGCTCACTGAGCTATGTAGCTCTTTTTCAGAAGCAAACCTGGCAACAAATGACAGCTCAAAGAAGTGGCTTATCAAGTCGAAATTCATAGCAGCCAAATACTCTAAACGCACGTTTCTAAATGTAGAGGGAAAACCCGGAGGTCCTGGACAAAAATCCATGTGACCATGGGGAGAACAAACTCCACATATACAGGTGTCAGGGTCAGGATCGAAACCACGACCTCCTATATACCAGGCAAGGCAGATTAACATTTTGCAGCGCCTTTTCCCCCGACTGCTCAGAGCCCTACTCACTACTCAGAGCCCCACTCACTGCTCAGGTAGCCCTGCCCACGACTCAGGTACCAGTGGAGAGTGATTGGGTCCACAGGCTTAGGCTCCTGCGCGTGCTATGTGATCCCAGCAATAATCAGAATCAGATAGGGTTTTATTCGCCATGAAAGTTTGCACAGGCAAGGAATTTACTATGGCAGGAAGGTGCATACATTCAACATGTAGGAATCTTAAAACTTAAATAAGTCGTATACAGTCTAACTATACTAAAATTACAAAGTCTAACTAATACTAAGGGGCTAAAGTATGTAAAAGTTTTAATAAGTATACAATATAAAATGTAAACTAGCCGTAATATACAATCTTAAAATACAAATAGGGTAACATGTTGTAAATATGGCAAGGTGTAATTTTGTAGATAAAATGTTAAAGTGTTAAGGTCATTTTAAGCCCTTGGCCTTGCTGAAGAGGCCAACAGCGGATGGGAAGAAACTGTTTTTATGACGTGAGGTTTTGATCCTGATGGACCGCAGGCTTCTGCCGGAGGGGAGTAGCTGGAACAGAGAGTGCACAAAACGTAGTCAACCGTGCTTATCGGAGGTGCGGGGGAATGACAACTAAACGCAAAATGCTCCAGGAGGCGTTTGAGCTCCTCGTGAAATCGGTTTCCTGCAGCGCTCGCTCCCCCAGCCTCCATTGCTGCACAGGGTCGCAGCAGCCTGGAGATGGAACCCTCACTGTGGAGGGGTTCGCGTGGAGCGGGGGTGAGAGGGGGCGCTCAGAGAGTGAGTGGAGTCTCCCTTGGTGACGTCTCACAGAAACAAGTGGGAGAGGAGACGCGGGCGGTGGAGGAGAAGAGGAGGGAGGCGGAGGAGTCCGTGAGGTGGATGGAGGCCACTCGCAGGGACGTGCAGGTACCGCATCTGGAACGGACCCTGTGACCTCGTAACTCCACCCTGAGTAGGGTTTGTGATGGAGGACAACTCCATTCATTCACGTGGACTTCCATTGGATCTGAACACATCGTGGGACTAAAGACACAACGGTCAATGCGCATCAATACCCAGGACAAGCAAATAAGTGATTCTCATCTTCAATGAGGAACTGAATCAGTCGTGGAGATTTCATATTCTTGGAATGGGGGCCTGATATCCCCATGTGAACTGCCACTTCATCTTGTTATATATTCATCTAATCTGGCCAGATGAGGTGGCACATACCTGTTAACCAGTTAATTGGTAGCAGGGTTCACATTATATATATGTTTTACAATAAGTATCGCATTGTGCTATGAACCAAAGTCACCTGAGATCAACTCCCAGCGATGACTAACATCAGTAACGAGTAATATCTGTAAAGCCACAACCACGCAATACACTGAATGCACGCAGTGTGCTTTATACAATTTGCATATTCACGTAACCTATTCACATAGTACACTCCCATTCAGTATATTGCAATGTGCGATGTGAGCATTAAAGTTCATTTGAATATAAATAGAGTATCCGACAAAGCACAGAGACACTTCGAGGTAAGGTCACCAAGTTGCATGTCCAATTCTCATCAGTGCACCGATCTTATCACTGCCCAGTCACGAAACCCAGCTCTCGTGTCTAGTCCCAGCTGGGCTTGTTTTGTGGTAGGAATACAGCTTGGAAGCGTTGCTGATCAGACAGCTTCAATGACGACCTTTTGCTTTGTCACTCTACTTGCATTACACACACCTTGCGCAACTCTTTGAAAAGATGGGGTTCATATTTAATTATTATTTAAATTTCTTATTTTTCGCAGATTTGTGATGTAATATTTGCGATTGAGTCCTGTGTAATTTGCAGGGTTATGATAGGTGACAATTGTATTGTTCATTGGCTACCGAGGCCGTGATGCACAGGAGGGGTTCATCCTCCATCAGATCACCGGGGTTACAGGTCAAAACGTCTCCCATATTGTGGGTTGCATGGTCACAGTGGCAATACTGTGGATTTATGTTAATGCATCTCTATGGGTCTCGATGGGTCTCTATGTATCCCTGAGTGTCTCCATGAGTTTAGTATACAGTCCATAGTTTGGGTTGTATGACCACAGTCACAATATCCTAGATTGACTCAAATGGGTCTCAATGCATCTCTATTCGTCTCCATGTGTCTGTGTTTCTCTATGGGTCTCTATATCTGAGTCTTTATCTCTATGGATCGCGAGGTATATCTATGGGTCTCTATGTTTACTTTATGGCCCATAGTTTGCTTTGTGTGGCCAGAGTCGCTTTTCCATTTATGATTGAGGAAAGAGAGGTGTAAACGCCACCTCCCTAAGACATTGATTAATTGTTGTGAAATTAACTCCTCCCTTAATTATTTAATAAAAACAAATCATACGCCCTGCCAGGGATCGATGACCGGGGTGAGGAAGCGAATCAATGGCGAGTTCGCCCACATGAGAGCAGCTCTGGACGAGGACGAGAAGGCGGCTCTGGCTCGTGCGGCCAAGAAGGAGCGCGAGCTGCTGACCCAGATCGAGAAGAACATCGCTCACTACCAGCGCGAGATCGGCGAGCTCCAGGCAGCAGCCGCTCGTCTGGAGGGCCTAGCGCAGGAGAGGGACTCGCTCGCCTTCCTGCAGGTGAGCGATGAGTCTCCGGTGTCGCTATTTGCACAGAGCCCTCGGCAGCGTCAGAGTTGAGGCTCCTGAATGAGGTTTTCACATCGACTGCGCTTTGTCACGCATGGCCTGAAATTTTGCCCGGTCCTTGCATGCCGTCATCCCCACTCACGATGATGTTTGCAATGTAAGTCAGTGTTGGTGCTCATGATGTCAGAAGCCAAGACTTTGTGGTTTCTATTCAACCTGCGGTGTTGCAGTGGGAAATCCACTGATCCCATGGGAATGGAGGTAGAGTCACAGTAACGCATCTCTCTCTCTCTCCCATAGGGGCACCTGGAAGAGACGTGCAGGTAAAAGACGACTTTCACTCACGACTCAACACACGACAATATGGGACTATCTCGGCTTCACTCTGTGCTGCGTTGCAGAGCTAGCTGAGTAGATAACGTCGCGTTTCCAATAAACCCTCAGAGCCAGGGTGAACATCTGACTCCGAACGTCATTTATTGAAATTGAACGGGAGAGAGGTAAAATTGGTAAGAAAACAGCACAGATACAGCATCTGTTAATACCCAGAAACACCAACACAATGAATAAACACCACAGCATCATAACATTGTCTATGAATGAGACATTTTGTTATTACAAGTTTGAATCCACTTACTCGATTACGGGTAAGTCACAACAAGGCAAGCTGCAGGCTTTATTGTCAACTAAGCCCCACATTCATCGTAACAATTTAACAGCATTATAAAGGTCCTAACATTATAACAGCATTATAAAGGTCCTTCTAACATTATAGAAACATTGCCAATATTATAAGAACACAAACGAACTTACAGACAATGCTTCCCAAAGTCCCACAACGGTGGCTGCAGCTGTCTTCACGGAGCCTCGATGTGTGCCGCCATCTTGAATTATGTCTGTAATGGCCGACGCCCGCGTGGTTCAGCGGAAATCTAAAATCGCAACTTCCTGGTCACGTGACCACCCTCTGGTTCAAAAACAGGAAATTCCTGTGTACACACGCCCCACATCTGCCGTGAGGCAGAACAAGCACTGAGTGCGAGGCGCGGGCAGTGAGACACTGGCTGTGTGTGGGGATGCTGTGTGTGTGATGATGCTGTCAGTGGTGAATCTGTGAGTGGTTGTGTTGATTGTGATGATGCTGCGCGTGATCATGCTGTATGTGGTGATGCTGTGAATGATTGTGATGTGAGTCGTGATGCTTTGTGTGATGTGTGTCTATGTGATGGAGCTGTGATGATCCTGTGAGTGATGGCCGTGTCTGATCTGCTTTCACAGGAGAGGGCAGCCTAGAGAAGCTCCACCCTCAGCTCCCAACCAAGAGGACATTGCCTCACTTAAAGGCATCGAGGGAACTGTGGCCAAACTCATGTGTGAGTTCTTCAGTGTGAAACATGGGTGATGGGGCCATCTTCACAATACATTATAACCGTGTATGTGTGTGCACGAGGTCGACTCAGCCTCAAATGATTACCTGGTGTGTGTAAACATCGCCACGAGGGAGACAAAGTTGGTCGGGTGTGGTGCTGGCCACCCACCTCCTCGTGTGCCGTGCCGGTCTTCATAGACACTCGCTAGCAGCACTTGCCCCAATGGTCTGTTGAGGCTACACAGGGGATCTTTGTTTTTGTTCACAGCCCATTCCAGGACCCTACTGAACACAGCCATGAGACTCAGTGTGGTGTTCTTGGGTAAATGATCAGCATTAAGAGTCAGGGGTAATTGTGATGTTGAGATGCAGTTTGTGCCTGTGAATGTATATGCATGTGTGTGTGGGGGGGGGGGGGGAGCGGTGGTTTAGTGGTTAGCACACTGCACTACGAACCCAGTTACCTGTGTTTGATTACCCGCCATAGCTAACATCAGTGGCAGGTGATATCTTATCAAGTCCTGGGTCTCTACTAGGCAGTTTCAACCTCAAATGAGTTCCTGATGCTGATAATGGTCATAATGATAGTCGTCATGATGAGGATGGTGGTAATGATGCTGTTAGTGATAATGTGAGTTATTCGGAATGGTGATGGCAGTGCTGGTCGTGGTGATTATAAAGAAGGTGACATTTGTAATAATATAGGTGGTGATGGTTGTGATGGTTTTGCTGATGGTATTGGTGATGGTGATCATGGTAGTGATGGTGATGATGATTTTGATGGTCGTTGTGATGGTCATGATGCTGGCCGTGTTGGTGATATTGGTGATAGTGATGAAGATGGTGATGGGGATAGTGGTGATGGTCGTGGTGATGGTAGTGATGGTGCTAGTGGTGGTGATGATGATGGTGGTACTGTTGCTTAATGCGATAATGATGTTGATGTTCATAGTGTTGATGATGGTGGTAATGGTGATGTTTATGTTGTTGTCATTGATATTCATGGCGAGGATGGCTGGTGATGTTTGTGATGTTTTTGTTGATGGTGAAAATGATGGTTGGTGATGTTGATGGTGGTGATGGTGGATGATGGTGATGACGGTGTTCTGTAGTGATGTTGTCATCGCTGTTGTCACAGACGGTTGCTCACCGACTCTGGACACAAACTCAGCTCATAACCAGCTCCAGATCTTCTCGGATCTCAGGACGATGACAGCGGTCTTTGCCTCCCAGGGTCGCCCCGATCACCCACACCGGTTTGATGGCTGTGCACAAGCCCTGTGCTGTGAGAGCTTCTCGTCGGGCCACCACTACTGGGAGGTGGACGTGGGGGACGCGCGGTGGTGGCGTGTTGGAGTCGCATACGGGACGATCCCACGGAAAGGGGATCGTGCTGCACAGCTGCTGGGAGGGAGCGACGCATCCTGGTGTTTAGAGAAATGTGGCAAAAACTTCTCAGTGTTTCATGGTGGAGTGAAGACTGCACTGTCGGTGAGGGGGGCCCCCTCCCCCCGCAGAATCGGGCTTCACCTGCACTGGGAGGGGGGGCTCCTGGCGTTTTACCGCGCTGACTCCATGGAGGTGATCCACGAGGTTCGGCAGAGATTCTTGCAGCCTCTCTACCCTGGGATGTGTGTGCATAATTATAATGAACCATTGAAGATCGTGGATCTGAGTCGTGCATCCTGAGGATGAAGAGAGATAGAAACCCAATAAACGGTGGAGAGGGGGATGGTGAGGAGAGGGCGAAGTGAGAGTGAGGGGCAGGTGGAACGGAGGGTGAGGTTAGGTTCAAGTTCAAGTTCATGTATTAGGTGTAGCCCTGTGAGCCGTTCGGCTCTTGAATCGGGTGCAACCGCAACAAACAAAAAACATGAACAAAAACATCTTAAAGTGAATATGTGACAAGTGCAAACAGAAATCCGAGAAAAGACAGCAAAACATTGCAGAAAAAAACACCGTGTACACCAACGCTGTGTGCAAAAATCCCAGTGGGATGCAAGTCAAACAACCAACAACAACCACAAGACAACTCAGATTAAGGCCATCAGTCTAACTCTGTACTACAACAACAAAAACGTGGCTAAACCAATATACTTTTCGAAATCACAAAAATAAAGCTATGAAAGCAATGAAACAGTGATCATAGGAACTGTGACGGAATTTTTACAATAAATGGCATAAACAACACGTAACCCACTAAACGGTGGAGAAGCGGGATAGTGAGGAGAGGGTGAAGCGAGGGTGAGGGTAAGGTGGAACGGAGGGTGAGGTTAGATGAGGGTGAGGGGGAGGTGAAAATTGAGGGAAGGGAGAGGTGAGCATGGAGGGGTAGGGTGAGGGGGGAGGGTGAGGTTCAGGTTGGCGTGCGTGAGCAATGTTGCCGGTGCAGTTCAAATCGCAGGTTCGTGTGTCCGCTCCTTTGCCTGCAGTGCGCGCTCACGTCACCACGCCTCCTCATCCCTGCGATTCACCATCAGCACCATCGTCACCATCACCAGCATCATCATCACCCCATCATCATCACTATCAACAACAACCGCCATTCGCCACTAAGTGGCGGTGACGTCACGACGCTTGTGCCAGGCCATGTGCACCTTGAAGCTACCACGTGAAGTGTCGAACGCCCGCTGGCAAAGAGGTCACGGCGCAGACCCAGATGCCACAGGTCGACTGACTGAGACGACTGGCTGATGCACCAGCTGTGCCCCCTACTGTGCCAACTTGCTGCGCTTTAGCCACCCAACGCTCCGCTTGTTGTTGTGAGCGTCACTTCTCCGCCCTCCGTTGTTGTTGGAGGGCGACTGCCTCCAACTGCCCAGTAGCGTCCTTCACGTCCTCCTGTACCACATCACTCCATCTCTTCTGGAGCCCGTGCCACACCCGTTTAGCCCCCTCGATCCGGCCAAACAAAAGTTGTTTAGGCATGCGGTGGCTGGGCAGGCGGTCTACATGGCCCAGCCAACGCAGCCTTGCCTGCCGGAGGAGCTCAACGATGGGGCCTTGTCCAGATCTTTCAAGGATTTGTGAGCTTCTCACACAATCCAGCCTGGTTAAACCCAGGATGGATCGTAGGCAGGCCAGCCTAAATATTAACAATTGGCGAAGATGCTCCATTAGGGGGGTCCACGTTTCGCAAGCATAGAGAAGGAAGGGAATGACTGTGGCCGAGAAGACCTGAAGCTTCGTGCGGAGCGAGAGACGCCACCTTCGTTGGTCGTAATATGCATCATGAGGGAAATGTGAGCATGAGGAAGACGACGTTTTTGCCACCCAATGGTGTGCAATGTACTGATTGTCTATGAAATGACGCCGCATCTCATGATGCGTATGACGACAAAAAATCCGCAGACTACCTACTGGATCTCTTCTCTGTTTCAAAGAACAAATTTGACCTAAGGTCTTCGCTCATTTGCCAGCTTCACATTCCCTATTGCCGTACAAATACTGGAGCAAGGGCCTTTGCTATTAAAGCCCCCAGGGTCTGGAATGCTATTTCCAATAAACTGCAACTTCAATCACTACTTATGAGATATTCACTCAAAACTGCTCTAGAGGATTTCGATTTAAAGCTTTCGTGACTGCAGGGAGTCATCTTGGTTCTTTCGGTAAAGTCACGTAG